AATGTGCTACATCAAGTCCCAACCCTTTAGTAAAGCAAGGCTGGGTTTAAGTCCAAACCCTATACTAGGGTGGGGTGGGACACCTATATCCTATTATCAGCTCTTGGTTGGGGAGGTCAACTCCCCAAGGTGTCATAGACTAAAGGATCCTTGAAACCACAATCAGAATGATAAAGAATTTATTGAATGAAACCAAGTTTGAGATCGAGTCTAAGACCGACTCCAAGACCGAGTATAAGATCGAGTCTGCGATCAAGTCCGAGACCAACTCTAAGACCAAATTCGAGATAGAGTCTGGGACAAAGTTCAAAACCAATTCTGAGATCTAAAATCAAGTCCAAGTCTAAGTCTGAGATCGAGTTCAAGACCGAGTCCAAATTCAGGTCCAAAATCGAGTCCAAGATCAAGTCTGAGACCAAGTTCGAATACTAATACAAGTTGTGCGGTGATAGCCCAAAGCGTTCATCTGACAGAGGCAAAGGAGGAGGAGGGGGGGGGGGGGGCTGTAGGGGGCTCCAAAAGTAAAGTAAGGATAGTGAGGTTAGGAATCAGTCTTGAAGGAAATCTTCAATGGTGCTTTCAAACTAACTTAAGGTTAGGATTAGGGGTTAGGGGCCTTGGGTGGGAGTGAGCATGGAGTGGGTGGTGCTAGAGAAAACACACAAGGAAGTGCTCAAGAGCAACTCCCACTCCCAAAAGGGAAACCAATTACAGTGGTCCCAGCTTATATGGAGTGATGCCTCACTTGAGTACCATGCAGCTTATTGGTCCTCACCTCTTTCTAGGAAGTTGGGGAGTAGGGGTACCCATACTATATGACTAGACCATGGTGTTTCCCCCTAGAGTCCCAAAACAAATGATACACCCAAAGCTTGGGATTAAGAGTCTTATTGTAGCGCACCTTATCTCTCTCCCCTTAAGCCAACTGGAAAAGGGGCAATTGCTTGATGAGAGAGCCCTTAGTGGCTATTTTATCCCCATTTATCCCCCAAGGTTCCAAGGATCCACGGTGACAGTATATCCAAATCTCATCCCATGATCACATGCGCTACACCTATGATCAAGTCTTAGTACCAAGGGATGTTAAGAACTTGGAAGCTTGGTGTGCTTAGCTGCTTATGCCTGTGGGGAGTGTAGCCAAACCTTAAGTCTAGAGGGGGATTGATAATGAATTTGGGAATCCGTGAATGGATAGGTAACACCTTGTTATTTGTGTAGTAAGTAGCTAAAGCCAAGTAGGACTAAATAGGAGTTAGTACCATAGGCGGGAACCTTGGCAAAGGAACTTACTTAAGCCCAAAACAGTGGTGATTGAATAGACGAGGTAAGCTAGCAAATTAGAAAGGAAAACTTTATGGCTTACACACTAGTGTAAGCAACCAACTCAAAGAACAATTTATTAGGGTTCAAATATAAAGGGAAAGGGCCTATGAATAAAAGTGCACCCTTTTTTCCAATTGGTTAAGGGTCTTGGGATATTTGGGGTTAAGCGTCCTAGGGTTTGAATAATATAACCTTCTGGGAAGTCTAAATTTAGGAGCTTACAATTTGGTATTAGAGAGGTCTTAGGTCTGACTCTATTGGTTGGCTACGGGAATCACACCACATGTTGATTGACATTTAGCTGGTTTAGTTTGCTCCCACTGGGCTCGACTCGAGGGGTAGGGTGTCAAGAGAGCGGGGCTCTTGGGAGTGCTATGGCTCTCAATTTCCATTTACGAAGGCGTGAACTTATAGGGAAGTATGGTAGATTATAAACAACCAAAGAGAACGATTCAAAAGACAATCTGTTGAAATTCAAATATAGAGAGAAAGGGCCCATGAATAAAAGTGCACCCCCTTTTCCAATTGGTTAAGGGTCTTGGGATATTTGGGGTTAAGTGCCCTTGGGTTTAAATAGTACTAGGCTAGATTCCCAAGAAGTCCAAATTCAAGAGCTTACAACTAGAGTCTTCCCTCTACTATACTTTTGGAGCTCACCAAATCTCCCAGGGTTTGGGAGACGATCACTTTGGGCTTTCACCCTTAGACTAAACTCAGACTCGGTTTCAAACCTAGTTTCTATCTCGGTCTTGGTCTCAGTCTCCATTTTAGGTCCATCTCAGAGTCAACTTCGGACTCCATCTTAGATCCATCTCAAACTCCATCTCAAATCCATCTTAGATCCATCCCAAACTCTATCTTCGACTCCATCTTGGGTCCATCTCAGACTCCATCTCAAACTCCATCTTGGGTCCATATCAAACTCCATCTTGGACTCCATCTCGGGTCCATTTTGGGTCTATATTGGACTCCATCTCAGGTCCATATCAAACTCCATCTCAGACTCCATCTTAGGTTCATCTCGAACTTCATCTCAGGTCCATCTTGGACTCCATTTTGAACTCCTTCTCAAACTCCATCTCAAACTCCTTCTCGGATTTGTTCCTAACACTTTCATATGTCACAACACTTGCTATATATCAATCCTTTTTGTGTCCCTTTTTTAGAGACTCACTTACTGATTATTTTCTTATCCTATTATTAGGAAGTTAATTTCCACCAATACAATCAATTATGTCCCATGTTTTGCTTAATTGCCTCATAATCATCAAGTCCTAAAACTCATTATTAGTGCTTTTACACCTCGCTCATTATTTAGGTCAATGCACTTGAATTTAAGCTATGCCAATCCCACTTTCATTGGGATTCCTTTGGTAATAAGTTCTCATGAATCAACCAATTTGACCTCAAAGCATCATGCCTTGGAACATTTGGTGTCTCCACACCATCAGCTCTATGAGTTTACCCTCATAACACTTCCCACTTATGTCTAAGTTTTTGTTAAACAATAGTAGTCGTTTCTTATGCTAACTATCTGTTAGCATTACAATATAAACATAATTTCTTGCCAAAGTTGTTTTCTTTCGTAAACACCTTTTCACAATTTTAGCATGGCACATTCTACCATCAATGAGATACCTATTATTCTCATATTTGGATCTCATGATCCTCTCAGTCCTTTATAGGGTACAAAACACCTCGATTTAAACAGGATTCCTCAAAAGCCTTTAGGACCATCTCTTAACTCTACTAAGTCATCCAGCTTTTGAACTTGTTAATCCAATGTCCTATAAAGCCCTACTTTTGAGGTGTATCATACTTAAATAAAACTTTTTATATTCTCATAAGGACCATCCTTGCAAGTGTTACTCTGACACTTGATTATCCATCTCGAGTCCATTTCAGATTCCATCTCGAACTCCATTCTGAGTCCATATTGGACTCCATCTCAGGTCCATATTAGACTTTATCTCGGGTCCATCTCGGACTCCATCTCAGGTCCAACTCAAACTCCATCTCGGGTTCATCTCGGACTCCATCTCAGGTCTATCTCAGACTCCATCTCGGGTCTATCTTAGACTCTATCTTGGGTCCATATTGGACTTCATCTCAGATTTCATCTCGAATCCATCTCAGACTCCATCTTAGACTCTATCTCAGGTCCATCTTAAATTCCATCTCGGGTCCATATTGGACTCTATCTATTCTTAGCACTTTCATGTGTTAGTTTTTTCTTGTGTCCTTTTTTTAGAGATTCATTCATCAATTGCTTTGTGCTCATTCCTTGAGCACTTTGTTCAGAGTTTCACTCATGCTCTCGACTTTTCAAATTGGAAGTTTTGATCCAAACATGTTATGTTTTGTTGGACTTTCACTTTGACCAATACTATGTGGCACCTTTTTTGCTCCACTTTGGGGCTTAGGGATTTGTGTTTCACAACGAGACCAACAAATGGGGCATGGTAGTAAGAGTGTCTTAGTAGATATAGTAAACTATTATCTAGTAAATATTAAGGAAACAAGTTCAATATTGCAATTCCCAACATTAGTAAGTGCAAGTTAACAAATAAATCTCTCTAACCAAGTTAAATATGCTTAAATAATAACATTTAGAAATTCCATCCTTATGCTTCTATGGCCAAATGCACACGTGAAAAGTAGTTTCTCAACTACTTTGAGAGGAAATTAATTATGGTTTAGCAATACTAACCTCCTGTTGTTGTGGTAGTAAAAGAAGAATAGAAAAGAGCTGATAAGTAGCTTTTGATACCTACAGTCACATTTGCAATATATTCTAATATCTTAGGGATCAATAGAAGTGGGTATTTATTAGGAATGATAGCTTTGTTTAAGTTGTAATATAGATTAGGAGATTTGTTTAGGTTGTTATTTTCCTTGGACACAAAAAACAAGTGCACTAATTGGAGATTGAGAAGGCTAGATAAACCTTTAGAAAGATTCTTCTCAATATATCTATGTAATATGTCCAACTCTATTGATAAAAGATTATAGACAAGACTAAATAGTAGTGATTAACACCCTTGAAATCATAATAATTAAAGGGAAGAGTGGATTGGTCTAAATAGACAAAGTTGGTGTTAAATGAATCACAATTGCAAAGACAGAACCAATATCTTAAAAACTAATACCTCCAGACTCATATGAAAAAAATATGAAAAATTGGATTGGAGAAACAAAATAAAAGGACTTAGAGAATGAGAGAATTGTTCAATTAATATCATATCACTTTCAATCTAATGTCAGGTTCACCAGCTCAAACCAAAGACGATATAAAAAATATCAATTTATATTTACAAGAAAACCAACACAAATCAAACACAAATCAGAAAGAGGTAAAAGAAGTCTATATATATAAAATTTAGTTAACAATATTGTTGCCAAATAGTGTGTGACACAGACACAGACAATCCAACCAAGATGGAAGTTGTTGATTGTTCCAAAATCATCCTTGTGTGTGACACAGACACAGACAATCCAACCAAGATGGAAGTTGTTGATTGTTCCAAAATCATCCTTGTGCCAAATGTGAAACACCTCGTTCAGATTTGCATCGTTTAGCGCGTCCTTGGCGCTTGAATCTCCCGTGTAAGGTTCCCTTGTTGAACATCTTCTTCGTTACCTTTATTTTAGTTTTTGGTTATGCACATTTAGGGTCTATGGCTGTGAATGTTTTGAATGTGGCGGAGAAGCCCAGCGCCGCCAAGGAGATCGCGCAGATCTTGTCACATGGCGATTGCCGGAGCTTGAGCGGCCATTCTGTCTACAACAGGATCTTCCATTTCAACTACATGATCGGTGGTCAGCCATGCCGAATGGTAATGACCTCTGTCAGCGGCCATCTCATGGAGCTGGATTTCGAGGAGCAATTCCGGAAATGGTACTACTGCGATCCGGCCGATTTGTTCCAGGCCCCAGTGAGGAGATACGTTCCCCAGGTACGAAGGATTTTGATAGGAAAGGAAAAGAAAGAATGTGGATTCTCACAGGCAGGGAAATGTTCTCTAGGACAAGCTGGGAATCAAACGGACGCTGGAAGAACAGGCTAGGAATTGCCAGTGGCTTGTTCTTTGGCTCGATTGCGATCGAGAAGGAGAGAACATTGCCTACGAAGTGGTGGAGGTCTGTCTCAATGTTAACCGGGGACTCAACGTCTTACGAGCTCGCTTCTCAGCATTTATCGAGAGGTATGATTTTTGTCACTTCCATCTTTCCTTCGGGGACTCATAGTTTTTGCAGGGAAATCCAGCACGCTGCACAGAATTTGCACCGGCCAAATCGCAATCTTTCGGATGCTGTGGACGCGCGCCAGGTTTTTCTCTGAGCTTTAAACTTCCTTTATCGTTTGTAGTTCTAAAAGAAAGCCATGCCGATGTTTAGGAGATCGATCTACGTATAGGTGCTTCCTTCACTCGCTTTCAGACAATGCTCTTGAAAGATCGCTTTGTTCTTCCATTTGACGAGCATGAGAAGGCCATTCTTAGCTATGGTCCGTGCCAGGTAACGAGATAAATAATAATCTCCATTCCAATAGCCAACATACTTTTGCGCTAGTTTCCAACTCTAGGCTTTGTCGTTGAAAGATATTGGCAAGTTCAAGCACACCAGCCTGAAGATTTTTGGACCATAAACTGCGTGTACAGGTCGGAGAACGACAGTGCTTCCTTCAAATGGACGTAAGTCATGATTTTTTTAATCCCAGGCTTGCTGAGTTTGTATGTTTCGCAGGCGCGGCCATCTTTTCGACTATGTAGCCGCCGTCTCCATATATGAAATGTGCGTGGAAGAGCCTCTTGCTACGGTTAATTTATCTTCCTTCCATCATGCTCGAAAGCCTTGAAATCTTCTCTTTCAGGTTTTCTCTGTTACTGGACGTGAGACACGTAAAAATCCACCGCATCCACTCAATACGGTTGAGCTGGTGAAGCGGGCTTCACGGTTTCTACGCTTTGGGTCCCAGGAGACAATGAAGGTATTGTTGGCTTGTGTTTATCAATCGCCAACCTTTGAACTTGCAGGCTGCTGAAGAGCTCTACCAGCAAGGATTCATCAGCTATCCCCGGACTGAGACAGATTACTTTTCGGAGAACACTGATCTTCGAGTTTGTGTTGCATCGGTTCCTAGTCTCTTTGAGCTCATATAATGTTGTCTACGCAGCGCATGGTAGAGGAGCAGACAAGGCATCCTGTGTGGGGAAATTATGCCCATCGCCTTGTTGACCCTCGAGAGAATTTGTGGAGACATCCGAGCAATGGTGGACACGACGATAAAGCTCATCCGCCTATACATCCTACCAGGTTTTCGGATGGAGAACCACAATGGAGGAACGATCACAAGGTAGGTTTTTTTTATTAATGTCACTTTGATTTCTGTATTTTGTTTTCTTTGCAGGCAGTGTATGAGCTTGTTGTGCGACACTTTCTTGCGTGTGTCTCGCAGCCGGCTGTAGGATACGCAACAAAAGCCATGATTGACATTGCTGGGGAACAGTTCTCTGCTAATGGACTCATGGTGACTGCTGTAAGTAAACTTTCTCGTTGTTCCTAGGAACTGAGACCGTGTTGCTCGTTTTCATCTCAGAGAAATTACTTGGAAGTTTATAGATACGAAAACTGGGCTGCTTCAACTCTTCCAAACTTTGATCTTGGACAACAGGTACACATCTTCAGACTGCGAGTATTTTCTTACTTTGCGTGTGTTTCTTCGCAGTTCATTCCAACCAGGCTTACGCTGGATGCTGGCAGAACGCAACCCCCACCCCTTTTGTCAGAAGCGGATTTAATCGCGCTCATGGACAAGGTGGTTTCTTAGTTCCAGCATTTTCAAGACCTGAATTCTCTGTGTGGCCAGGAGGGAATTGGAACGGATGCTACTATGCATGATCACATAAAAAAGCTGCTGGACCGGCGCTACGCTACCAAAGATGCGCAGACACGCTTTTGTCCCACAAACTTGGTACGCGGCACAACCAGGAAAAGTGCTTTCAACTAAGTAGAGATTATCTTACAGGGCGAGGCACTGGTTATGGGATATGACACGATGGGGTTGGTTTTCATATTTCTAGTTTCTTTATATTCACTTCCAAGATGAGAGACATTCCAGAAGTTTTGTTTCAGGTACGAGCTTTGGAAGCCCCATCTCAGATCTATAATGGAGAGAGACATGAAGGCCGTGAGCGACGGGATAAAGGTGAAGGAGAATGTCCTGGAGACATGCTTGCAGCAAATGAAGACGTGCTTTCTCGATGTAGGTTTTAAAGCTTTTCAGCTGCTACTTTATTTTCTTATTTTTCTTATATTTTCCAGGCTAGAGTTCAGCAACAAAAGCTTATAGAGGCAATGGGTCTTTTCTTTGAGAGGTAAGCATGTGTTCTTTGGCATTAGTTTCTACTTGGATCGGTCCAACAGAAGCCAAAATCAAGTCCCTGAAGCGGTGCAAGTCGGTGGAATCGTTCGAAGGTGCCCGATGTGTCGTGAAGCCGACATGGTTTTAAAGAGAAGACCAGTGGGTTTTTCCTCTTCATCCCGTTTGCTTGTAGGCCACCACTGACTTTGTTACACCAGGATAGCAAGTTTATGGTTGGTTGTCGCAACTTTCCACAGGTAAGTTCTTGCTGCTTGCTTAGCTTTTTACTTTTGGAAAATGGTGCTTTTCTTTTCAGTGTAAAAATGTCGTGTGGCTACCCTCCGTCGTCATGGAAGCGACAGTCACTGCACACACTTGCAACTCGTGCATTCCAGCTCCAGTTTACAAAATTGACTTCAAGTTCAAGAGAGCAGAGATACCACCACAATACAGCATTTATCACACAGGTGAAAGCTGATTTCCAGAAAACCACATACTGCTAAAATTAACAATCTCTTGTAGGTTGCGTTGGTGGCTGTGACATTGTGCTGAATGACATTATGAATATCTATAGAGCACCTCCTGCTCCCTCAGGTTCGAACTCTGTTTTCCTTGCTCGGCTAACAGAAACTCTATGCAGGGAGAGGACAAGCACAGGATCGAGCTTCTGGACGTGGCCGTGGTGTTGCTTATCCAAGACGAGGCCGCCGTGGTGGCGGTGCTGGGAGATCCCAAAACCCAAGCCGGCATGGTGACACGGAAGTTTTCTATGATGCGCAGGTACACTTTTAATTTTTTTTACTCCCTGTTGTTGCTTAGATTGCAAAGCACTCTAAGAAATCACAGCAGTCAAGTTCTTGGCATTTTCAAGTTTATAGCTTCAAGGACACAAGAGACTGGCACACACAGATCAGATCCAGAGTTTCTGGAACTATAGTGAGAGGACGTAGGCCTCGACTTGCTTGATGCTAGCAACGAAGCCATCGGCAAACTTGTCAACTTCCTCCGTGCCTGGAACTTTGGGTTCGTAATCGAGGGACCACAGAAGCAGGCTTCCTTCTCCTTCAGGCTTGAGCGTCAGTTTCCATTTGAGAGAACTCACTTGCGTGCCAACCAGTCCCCCTTCGATCACGCTCACCCCAATGGTATGAGTGGATTCATCGATCATAGTCAGCTCCTCTTTTATGAATGGATAAGGAACAAGATCTGTGCATGAAGTTCCAGGAACACCAAAGAGAAGAAAGATGAAAATCAAACAAACAGAGATCTCTCCCAGAAACATCACGCACCAGTATTGAACTTGACCATCCTGGTGTTTCCAACGAGAGCAGCATCGCCATCAACATTTTCAATGCTCACCACGGCCTGATTGGAAGCTTTGACAAGCATTTGTGGATCCTTGAGAGCCTCCCACAGTTTTGAGGGGGGGAGTGCAACCTGAATCTCTCGGCTGATAGTCGATGGAGCTCCCATTGTGTCTAAGTTTGCTACTAAGCTTTCATTTTTTATACTAGTCTAGATTGTCAACCCTGCTATTCTATTGTTGTTCATTCTTCATGTCACGACCTTCAGTTAAAAATCTCCTCCTTCCGAGTGTAGCAAGTAAGCATCTCGTTCCACAACACCATCAAAGATCCCTCATTTGTGAACTTACAATGCAACCTCCTTTTCATTAAAGTGGGATTCTCTCATTATTATGTGTCTATATAGTTCATTCAATTAGTTGAAAATGTTATAATACATTAATGTGAGAAATCACATGAGAACCTTCACTTTTTTTTCTTGTTACCTTATCTTCTTTACTAAAAAAATGTGAGATAATGACAAATCTCACTTTAACTAGAAAGTGCTTGTTCACGCTCTCCAAACCGTTTCCCTGGCCGTAAGCAGCGATCAATGCGTTCCAGGATCTAGCATCTCGGCCCATCGCGAGGAAGATCTCCAATGTCTCCCACCCAAACCTCTAGGTGATGGAGTTTGTTGTTTCCAACAATCGCCTTATCCACTGATTGTGAGGGAGGAACTAACAGGGGACGTGGTTTTCCTCCCTATAAGCCAATATGGTGACCATTTCAGCATAGATTTTAGAGCCTTTGTCCACGGTTGAAGCATTGATATATTGTTTACCATTATACGTGTTGGTACATATACCAGCATACCTACAGTATTTGGTGTTTCCAACAATCGCAACATTCTCAACACTCACCACGCGATTGGAAGCTTTGACAGGCATCTGTGGATCTCCCACAGTTTTGAGGGCAACCTGAATCTCTTGGTTGATAGTTGAAGGAGTTCCAATTGTGTTAAAGCTTTCATCTTGTATACTAGTGTAGATCCAATTCTACAAGTTACCATGAATCACCAATATTCTGTTGTTGTTCATTCATCATATGCATGTCATAAAAAAAGTGGTGGTCGTCTCCTCGCCCTGCGTGTAGCAAGTAAGCATCGCATTCCACGACACCAGGTGGGGCTCCGGCATACCATCGAAGATCCTCCTCATCTCCTCGAATTTGCGAGCATGCCAGAAACATGCTCGTCCACGACCGAACGTTTCAAACACCAGCTTCGTGCTCTCCAGATCGTTTCCCTGGCCGTAAGCAGAGATCAACGCGTTCCATCTCGGTCCATCGCGAGGAAGATCTTCGTCGCCTGATCAATGTCTCCGGCCTCGCGCACCCAAATGCTTGTCCAAGTGATGGAGTTCGGTCTGGAACAGCCTCCTGGCCTCCTCGAGCATCCCAGTGCGTGTGTAGACGGGAAAGATCGAGTTTCAGGACACCGAGTCTTGGGCTGGAATGCGATCGAAGAGTGCCCGCGCTGCTCTAACATCGCCAGCCTGGGCATTTGCCGTGATTAGAGCATTCCACGATGTTCCTCCCGGGTATTTCTTCCTGAAGCTGGCCGGTTTGCGAGAGCCAAAAAGCCCTCCGTTGACTACAGGCATTCTTCGAAAGAATTCGAGAAAATCCCCAAACTACCATAGAGTTCCAAGATGCAACATCGCGCTTTTCCCTTGGCTCCGCAATGTTTCCGGCTAAAGCAACGTTGAGGAAACTGCGCTGTGCTCTCAGAACCATTTCCCTCTCTCGTTTAAATACCTGTTTTGGGCAACAAGCGCGAACCCCACGCCCAAACATTTATGTGGTTGCCCAGGAACCTTTGGCCTTCCTAGCGAGCTCCCAGTGCAATGGTCATCCTTCTGATAGATTGTTGCAAGCTTTCAACTTCGAATGAAATGCCACCCATGGAAGAAATACTACTAAGCGTCATAGTAACTATTAAACTTGTCTATCAATTTAAGCTGGAAGAGAAGCACGCATATCCTAGTGATATTTTGTCTCATGTTTTGGAGTAATATGTCATCTCGTTGATATATAGAATCCAGCTCCAAATTGACATTCGAAGAGTTGTTAAGATGAAATCTCATGATTTAACATCCTATCTATGCAGGCGATCCGAAACTGTGAAACCTTCATTTTATTCAAGAAACTATTATAAGGTATTCCGTAAGCAAGTGTGAAGAACACTTAGCTAACAAAATCACGAGATTCATCCTTTTAACTTGTAAGCTTTGGGCGACTGATCGCCTTTGCAAGGTTGGATTCTAGCGTTGGCAGGGGCAACGCGAGCAGAGCAGGCCTCAAATCATCCTCGCCGGCAATTCTCTTGAGCAGCGGCAGCAAATCAAACAAGACGCGATCGTCATCCCTGCTGCTGTTCCGAAACATGGGCACCACGATCCCGCTCTCGAGATTCATCTTGAACGAGTCCCGGAAATCGTCCACCCACACCACCTTCCGCAACTCCCTCCCAAGCTTTGGACTGTTCAAGTCCTTGTAGTCCTTGATCTCCGAGCTCCCGCTGCAAGAGTCCCGAGCAAGCCATGTTGCCACAAATGATCCACTGGGATCAATCGCCTCCCTCATCTTCTCCACATAGGATTTCCTTCCGAGGCTAAACACCACCACCTCGTAAATCTCTGAGGCTTGCCGAAGGAAATCGTCCAGCCCTGGTCGCTTGGACACCCAAACGGGCTGCTCCTCGGAATCAAACTCCACCACGAAGTCGAAACACGCATGTAATTTAGCTTGCCTCGACGTAGCTATCAAAGTACCATCGAGATCAAGGATCAAAGTCGGCTTGCCTCGATCGCCAACGCGCTGTTCGCCAAGTTGAGCCATGAACACTGAGTATGAACCCTAAATGAGGTAGGATAGTACTTATTTTCAAAATGAAAAGGTTGGAAAGAATGTTATATATTGTCCTGATTTTATATACATCTGTAGTTTTCGCCTTATGTACTGATTGTGAGGGAGGAACTAACAGGGGACGTTGGTTGAAATAGTGTGTTCCCTATAAGCCAATACAATGACCATTTCAGATTACACAGCATAAATTTGAGAGCCTTTGTCCACTTCTCTGGTCGGTTGAAGCTTTGAGTGATTGCAAATCCTTCCACCTTGTCATTCTCAATCCTTCAAGACATGCCAAGATCAGAAAAGCGCTGCTGATACGAAGGACTTACAAGTAAGGTAGCGTGAAGCATTTGCCTGGGGCCACTCTAGCAGCCCGGTCCTTGGCATTTGCAAAATCGGCAAACTCTTTCAGACATGCGAGGAAATAAACCATTGCTTTGTCAAAGTGCGTGCTCCAAAACAGATTTACTGGACCGTAGCTGCCACAAGAGAGTATAAGTTACTCACAAAACACGAAAGTGAAAACTCACAGCTCGTATGTGTTTTTGCTATCAGCAATACAGGCATAACTTCCCATGGGAATCAATCTATACCTGCAAGCAGCAACACAAATTCAGAAGAAAGAAAAGGAAAAAGAAGTCTACATACGTAAAATTGAGTTGGCAATATTGTGCCATAGTGTGCAACAATAGACACGCCTGTCCCCAGGCGGCATTGATCTCATCCCATTCCACCTGATACAGGGACGGTCTCACAAAACAAGAAACAGAAAAATATGCTCTTACATGAACATTTGGAAGGCGGCCAAGCCGGAAATTGTTGATTGTTCCAAAATCACCGTCGTGACAAATGTAGAACGCCTCGTTCAGAACGTTTGCAGCTTTTAGCGCAGTCAATTGTGCACCTGCAACGTCAATCTTTGCCAAGACAGCGTCTCTCTCCTCCTGTAAGCAAGAATAAATACGAAACAAACATTTCAAGTTTATCTTTACCTGATGAACAGTGAGACGAAGTTTAAAGTTGTTGAAGTCGTGCCAGAATCTGGATGAGGTTTATCAGAAAGAAGAAAAGACAATACTGAGAAAAAACAGGCCTACCTTTGTTCCAATTCATCGAGATCTTTAAACTTGCGCTCATAGTCTTCCAGTTGCAACTTCACCTCCAGATTTTGTCGCTCAAGCTGCTCAATCGTCGCTTCAAGCTTTCTTTCTTCTTCAACCTGGAAAAGAAAAAGCACAATAAACTTAGTAAACTTCAATCGTCATGCAAGTATGCTCTTTACCGTAAACTCCTCCTCGCTCACTGAAGTCCGTTGCTCCTTCTCGAATCTATCAAGACAAGACTCGTATTCTTTTATGTCCTTGGTAACCTCTTCAATTTGTTTTTCCATCTCGTCAGACAAAACACGCATGCATTCGAGGCACAGGGGTTGATCCACCTAGCAAACCGAAGAACAGAAAGAACTATGTAAGAAAACCCATCCAGACTATAGAGATGTAGACATCACAAACCTGAGTTTGTGCCGAAGCAATCTCGAAGACCCTCGTCAAGACATTCACACTAGCATTGAAGCTAGCGTTACTCGTCTGTGGCTGTGCTCCTCCGCCACTGGAATTTCCACTGCTTCCAGCCTGGCCTTCGCCAGACATATCGTTCCTATACATGGATGCTGCTGCGGAAGGCAACACAACAAAGGACTCTTCCATTGTTCTTCCGCCATGGTGGCTCTCAGCAGCTGCAAAATCGGATTTTGATTGCTAGCGAGGATCCAAGAGCTGAAAAGACAAACCTGGGGTTGGATAATAACCAGGAGTTGGATAATTCATCGCCCCTCGCGGCCTTGGAGGAGGATAGCCGGCTTTGTGCTTCGGCAAGAGCACGAACGATTGATCCATTCTGCTCGCAGCTAGGACGCTCCCACTGCCGGCAGCTGCAACAAAGCAGAGCTTGGAATGAATCCATCGACAACCCAGCAGCCCTAACCTGAGACTCGCTCCGCGTAGGCATCCGCGCCAGAGATCACGAATGGATGCTTGCACATTTGACAGTACCATCGCGGCAGCGCTGGATCGCGCACCGCGACTTTGCCGCCTTCCATCCTCCCTCTTTACTACATAAGCCCTAAGATGGGAATATTCTCCGCCCAAAATCAGATGCTTGTTACATTAGCTAGAATATTCTCCACAATTAAAATAAGATGCCAACACTTCGTTAGCACAAGTTAGAATTTTCGCTAGCACACCGCCACCACTGTTGATGCTTCCTGCCGAACCGAGACTTCGCGATTCTTGAGTGCTTGTCTGAGCATTTTGTGAAGCTGAATGTTTGTTAGTTCCGCTACCTCAACCTGGAAAAATCGGTCAAAATCAAGCGTGAAGATGATAGAATCTAGAGTGAAGAACACTCACCTTGTTCTTCCAAGTCTTGACCTCTTTGGACAACTCGTCGTTGTTATGTCTACAACGCATGTAGTCGAGAGCTGTGGGACGAGGAGGCCCATCTTCTTCTTGCATATGCGCTACCACGGATTCGTGAAGCTTGCTCTACGAAAGAGAAGAGAGAACACCAAGGATAAGTTAGGCTGGAATAAGTTTGAGCTAGATTACCTTTTGAAAGGTCTCTGTTCTGATGTTGTCTCGTAAGCTTTCCAACAAAGGCTGGCGATCTTTGAGGAAACATTTGATGTTTGTTCCCCGATCCACAATGCCACCAAGCTTCCGCCGTGTTGTCTCCAGAGCCTTGGAATTCAGGACATCCGAGTTTGGTGTCAGTCTAGAGATTTTTTTCGAGAGAGATTTTTCTCACTCGTACCTTGAGCGTTCTCTTGACCGCGCTCTTGAGGTCCCAGATCTCGTAAGTCCTGTCCCGTATCCTGGCGTGGAGCTGGACGTTTTGGATCTGAAGCTGATCGAAGTCGATGGCATGTAAGATGTCCTTGAGATCCTTTTTCGTGCTGAACTGGTGCTCGGCTTCCATGATCTCCATATGAAGCAAATCATTCTTCTCTTGCAATTTGTCTCTCACATTTTGCTTTCTTCGCAGCTTG